AATCGGGAAAGCAAAAGTCAGTTTCAGTGTAAAATTCACAACTGCATTTTCATTTCAACTCTTGAAAATGCTGAGAAGAAAAATTACCCTTTTTTTTCTTATCCTATAGAACCATAACAGTATAATTCGTTTTTCCGGATGAAATTCTGTTTCCATTAGGCTAAGCCCCTTATCCTGAATGACCAAATTCTACTAGAAAAATAAACAATAGTCTTTTACATTATGTTTTCCACAAATGAAATATTTTCCAACGTAAGCTCAGATTAAATGAAAGTAGCTCGTACTTTCCAAACTTGTTAATCCCATTTTGATATGCGATCTCCTGCTATTTCCCTGGAGGATGCCTCATGAAATTTAACCATTTTCGGATTGAAAAATAGAGAAAATATTTGTACACGGTCACTTCACTCGGAATTCCACGCTCCGTTCGAATTGCAACTACATTTTCGGAATTAAATTTGCGCGTAGCATACGAGATAAGCAATAAACGTTATTTCGATAGCTACATTGAATATTGAGGGCTCGAAGCTTTTGTCTGTTTAGCATTGAAACAAACCGCTGCTGAAACACACCCAAAAAATTAACCAAGCATTTAGCAGTGATAGTGATAATGAACGCACTGTTTGACGTTGATTTGCGAAATTTCGGATTTGAAGAGGATTTGAGGACAATGATGGTGACTGACCTGTCCCAACGGTGCGTAGGATGGAGGAAGAATGGGCGTTGGTTCCCATGCGGTTTTTGATGGTTTGAAACGTATGGGAAAGAACAGACATTTCGAAAAGTTGGTGTCCCACGATTCGAAGGATTGACAGAAATTGTCACGTTTCAAAGCCTGTTCTTCTTTGCTTTTGCGCAACGAAAACGTCCTTTTTTGATGGGTTCGTCACATGTAATGAAAAGTGGTTCCACCACGACAACACGAGACGTTCAGGACAGTGATTGGACACCGATGAGCAACCCATGCACTTCCTAAAGGCCACCACCAGCGACTGCCGTGATTCACTATAACTTTCTGCAACCGGGCATGACCACGACGATGCTCAAAGGTCCGACAGTCCTAAAGTAGTTCAAATGCTTTTTCATTTGGGAAAATATCGACCTCGATCTCTATGAATACACCAATATTTTACGTTACTATCGCAATGGCAGTTATTACACCAGGACAAGGACTTGAGTACCCTAGTGTGATGAAAAGTGGATTCTCTACGGTAAGAGAAGACGCTCAGGACATTGATTGGAGATCGATGAGCCACCCATGTACTTCCCAAAGGCAAGAACCCTCCAAAAAATACCATGGTTACTGTATGGTGATCAGCGACTACCGTGATTCACTATAACTTTCTGCAACCGGGCAAACCATCACACCAGATCGGCTCATGGTAGGTCTAGAGGAACTTCTGAAGAAACAAGAGAGCGGCCTGAATGTTATAACTGCCGCAGAGAGGGATATTCAACACAAGACTGCATAAGGATGCTGCAGTAATTATCTTTGTCTCACTTCACGTTAATCACTGTGACCGAATGAAATTATTTATTTATTTATCGTATGGCGATTCAGTCACAGTGAACTCCAAAGCTGATTTAGACATATAAGCTAATAAAACAAACTTTGGGATTTCACAAACAAATATCAAGCTGGTTAATATAATCTATCGACCCGGCAGTTTCCAGCAGAAAGTCTTCAGGTCTACCGTTGTAGGATCTTGTGGGACATTCCTCCGTGTTGTGTTCAATCGTTTGATATTCTCCGCAGTCGCAGTATGGTGATGGTTATTTGCCCGACTTGTGCAGGAGGTAAGCGCATCTGCCATGTTGCATTCTGCGTGGTAGGTTAAACCCTTGGGGCTTTTGGGTAATGCAGGGCATATCATTTCCTTGTCGAGTGGTTCATTCTTGGGTCCATGCATTGGTCAGGTTGAACTCCTCTTGCATTGCTGCACTTGCCGTTTTAGTCAGTGGATTTTTGAAGCGAAGACGATTATGATTAGCGTCCTCAATGTCTTGATGTATTGGCAGATTTCTATTTTCCATGATATTTTTGTAAGGGCGTTTATCCGTCGCAGCTGTGGGGGTTGGATATGATTCATTGCTGGGAGCCACTGAGTGGGGGTCGATTAAATGACACCAGCGATCATCCTCATGGTATTATACAGTTGGACATCCATCTTTGCGTGCGAACTGCTGAGCTAAACTGGGGTACAGTATTCAGCTGTCGAGAAGACAAGTCCCAGAGCGCAGCGTAGAAGCTGATGCTACCCAAGTGGTACCACATAGCTTCTGGATTAAATTGTTCCTAGTTTTTAGCTTCTCGGCGGTTTTAGTTAGGTGTTCTTTGAATAATACTGTTCTATCAAGAGTCACTCCCAGGTATTTCGGTGTTTTGTTGTGGGTTAGTTTGGTACCGTCAAATTGTATATTTAACTCTCCTCTGGCTAGTTTGTAATTGAGGTGGAAGCAGCTAACTTTTGTTTTGCAGGCATTTGGCTGGAGTCTCCAATTGCGGAAGTATTTACCCAGTGTCTCCAGGTCTGCTGTTAGGATTTCCTCAAATAGTTTGATTGAGTTACATCTTGTTGCAAGCACCCAGTCGTCGGCGTAACCGAACTTATTTGACCTCGTTCTCAGCATGTTCGCTTATATATAAACTGAAGAGGAGCGGAGCGAGCACTGGTCCCTGTGGCAAGGCGTTGTTAAGTTTCTTTGGTGGTGACAGGACCTGGTCTGCACAGCATCGTTTTGACTGAATGCTCACCTGCTTAACTGGTGTTGCCTCGAGGATCACTGAGCTGATTCTGTTGTGGACAAGTCTCTCCAGTAGTTTGTAGGGTACGGACAGTAGAGCGATTGGCCTGTAGATTTTTGGGCTGTCGGCAGGTTTACCTGGTTTCGGCAAGGCTATTACCTTGAATCGTTTGAATTCTGGTGGGACGCTGCCAGAATGCATAATGTACATGAAGAACTTGGCCAACTAGCATTTGGTATACTCGCCACAATTGATTGTGAACTCGGAGTGGATGTTGTCGAATCCTGGGGCATTTCCCGCCGTGATATCGTCTATGGCCTTTGAAACTTCCTCGATGGAAAAGGGGCGAGAGTTTTCCGTTTCCGTGGCTTCGGATTTTATGGCTTCAAGTTCTCTATTTATCTGTTTGGTATGTGCTCTGTCCTTTGGTGTTCTGGATGTAGCTATTGAGTGTGAGGCTTCTTTATTTGGGCTTATACCCCCCAGCTTCCTCAGTAGTGACCATGCCTGCCTGCTCGATGTTTGAAAGTTGTGGCTTTCGACAGTTTCAGTCCACTTTTGTTGGCAAGCAGCATTCAGGCTGTGGATTCGTTCATCCGCTATTTCCTGGTCACCGGTTTCAAGATAGTATTGATATAGGGCCTCACTGTTTTGAGACCATCCAGGACATATCACTTGCGATACACTCTGAGTGTGTGCTTTTTAGCGCTGCTTATTACTGCTTCCATGAATCTTCCGTAGTTTCTGCTAGTGGGCGGTTTCCACCCTAACCACTTATCAAGGTCAGAGGAAACCTGGACCAGTCAGCTCTCTTGAATTTCCATCTTGGTCGGGGTAGTGAAGTGATTATGGGGATTTGCGTTCCCGCTTCTATGACAGCTGGACGATGTTGGCTATATGGAAGTCAAGAAGTACGCTTCTTGTGGTTGCTTTGTGGCCCTCCTTGTCAGTAGAAACGAAACACAAGTCAGGATTGTACTCTTGTCTCCAGGCTGTCGATCTGAATGTGAGTCGATCCTTAGCTTCGAAGACGAGACGAAAGAAGAAGAATTACTTCACATTAGTTTGTCTGCCTAATCGTAAGATGGATTAATGAACAATTGAAATGGAATGTGAATAGCTGTCAGAATCTTGACTATGATTTATGAAGTACTGCTGCAGTGTGTCAGAGGAATCCTAGATCTGTGAAAGTAATCTATAAGTCAGAAATGACAAAAATGTTCAGATTGCCTCGAGAACAGTATCTGATACGTAGTAAATAATAGAGTTAATCTATCGAGAATAAATTTATTTCGTTAATATCATCTGTTATTATAAGACTTTTGTTTGTACTTGCACTCCACACTAGTTTATAATATCTGTACCTAACGATGTTTATCTCAATAACCTTCATCATTATTTTGTACGTTTCAATCAATATCTGCTGGTTCATTAACAGAAGTGTACGAAATTTATTCTTGCTTTTTACCCATCTGTTCTGAAATAAACTTGTCTGAAACTATAATGAAATTTTCCACTTTGATTCGAGCATTTTATAGCCGTGCTATCCTAGAATTGCTCGAGGACATGTTTTCTAGTTAAATTTAGAAATGCGCTCTTCTATCTCATGGAACTTGAAACAAAACGACAAAAGATTTCATTACTGAACCCAAAACGTTACATTCTGAGTGTTCTGTCCACATTTATCTAGAAATGTTTGTATAGCTCTCAAAGCCATAGGCACATAAACATTCTTTTAGCTAGGCTCCATAATTGTTACAATCACATACATACATTCAAATGATTAAGTCATACTTCGAATACGAAATCAATCTGTTGATCTGTCATACAAATAACAGCAATAGAAATTTTGATTGGTCAGCCAGGCATTATCACCTATTCCTGATCACTTTCGAATACATCCGCAAAGGCGCTGTTTAATTTTTGTTTCTTTAATGTCAAATGTGTCAAAATTCGACATATTTGATTGGGCGTATTCAACAGTTCAACATATGATTTATATCTGGTCCATTTATTCAATATCCTTGGACATTTACTGTCTTATTACCTAAAACCAAGTGAAAAACGCGACTACAAATTGAAAAGGTATAGCTGTTTGTCTAAAGCTAAGAGCTCATAAGGTACTCCATCTTCTGTCAGTTGTCATCTCTCATCTGTCATTCGTCAACCACGATCTGTATTTTTTCTGCGTTATCCACCATATTGTATTTCTCTCTGAGCGGATGTGGAAAAATTAATTAATTTTTTGTTTCAGAACTCTCAACGAGACCTTCCTGGAGAGTATACAATTCATGCCCGAGTTCGTAGATCCGTATCACAAAAGGTGAATATTACTAGTGACTCAAAACTTGGGCAATGTGTACAGAATCACAGAACATCATTGTCTGTTGAAAATATAGATATATCTAAAAAATGTTCAGTTGTACGAAATCCGGTGATCTAGGAGGCTAGTCTTCTGCCAGGTAGTCAAGTAGTTCATGATAGATTTATAAACATATTGTCTTAAATTGACTTTGGACGAACTCAACTAGGGTTCTTGGATACATTTGGATTCTTGTATTAACATTATACCCAGTGCAAACGTGAAATCGGAATAGTACTTGACGTTCATCCAAGAGTGTGATTCAGTTCCATATTTGATCACTGAAGGTTTGAAATGGCCCGAAAAACTTGAAATCATTAAACATTATTAGAAGTTCTGTACACATAGGCTCCCGAATACTCTAGCTATAAGACTTTCCCAAGAAGTAATTGCATAATACTGACACCATTGATCTATTTTCTATTATTTTTCAGGCCAATGACTTTGGGGGAAATAGGCTGCTTCATGAGTCATTTAAATATATGGAATGAGGTAAATAACAACATCGCGGATCATCAATTTTTTAGTCGCTGTGTTGTTTCAGATTGTAAAACAAGGGCACGAGACTGCTTTAGTTTTGGAAGACGACATACGTTTCGAGCCTTATTTTCGGCTGAAAGTCCAAAATGTCATGGCCGATGTTAAGAAAATACCAGGATGGGACTTGGTGTAAGTATAAAATCCAATCCAGTACAACTTTGAGAATGAAATTCAAAAACGAGTTTGCGAAGTAGAGAAACATATTCAATCCATTTGAAAATATTTTATGAGATTGCCATCGGTTTGTATGAAGTTCACCATTGATTTTTATCAGTTTCATCACATTTTGCTGAAACTCCAGAAGACTTCCCCTGAGTCTTCGATAGTGTGGATCAAGAGTTGCTATTAAGAAAATTAGCACAGGGAAGTGTGAGAGAAATAGAGAAATAGAATATAGACCAACGCGACAGAGGAAACACCCCTCATCAATCAGAAACCAATAAGCAGGGTGTTCCTCAGGGATTAGTACTGTGACCTATCCTTTTTTTAATATACGCTAATGATTTATTGAAATCTTTCTTGTTTACATTGCATCAAGGATGATCTTTAATGATACTGCTTCATAGTTTATAATCAATAGAAACCACCTGATTATGACCGATGAAACCTCCGAGCTCGCGGAATTTTTTCATGACCCTCTGCATATCACAAAAATGGATGAACTCTTCTTCCTTTCTCTTCATTGAAAAAAATACCGAAAAAACACTAACAGAAATACCGCCTACTTTCATTTTTGTCCAACTAGAAAAACGTCCTTTTCAAATTGACATTTCTGCAATCAATAGAATGGATTTAGGCATCCATTAGGATAGCACAGACCGTGAGTAGGAAAAGCGAAGCTAAGATAAGCATGATTTTATCGATGCGTATGTGCCTTGCCATCATCTTGTTTAATTTGTTTGTGTGATTAGTGTAACAATGATACAATGAGCTATTGATGAATTTATGGACAAATCAATTCGTTGAGAACATGGAAAATGAAACATAAATGGAACTATACCACCCAGTTGGTTGGCAGTAAGGGTGGAATAGGGGTGGATCGGAAATACCCAGACCCTGAATCGGTACGATAACTCAGCCTTACATCCTTCCTGTTGAAAGGACTTGAAAGGACACTGGACGGACGTATCAGGAAGGTGGCTTCATTTGCAGCCCCCAGTATGCATATCAAACTGACAAATCGGCAGATTTAGCATTCACCAAGCTTATACAGAAAATGTCCTAACCACTTGACAACAAGGAGCTTGCGGTTGTTGTATTTCTCAATAATGAAGGATCATTTGACAATGTACTGTTTAAATTTATAGGATCATCCCTGTCTGGAAAATGCATGGAATCGACCATAACTGGCTGGACCTATACTATGCTGGTCAACAGAACTGCAACTACGACCCTTCAAGATGAGGCCATTAGGTTCACGTGTACCAGGGGTGCTCCTCAAGGTGGGGTAATCTCCCCATCTGTGGTCGCTCTTTAAGGCCATGGATATCTTCCTAGATCTACCTCCTCTCCACATTTTTCTGGAGAGAGAGGCTAGATGGACTGCATATAGTCTTGTGCACATTGCTAATTGCACAAATCAATCTAAAGCAGAGTACTATAGAGTGTTGGTTGACACTAGAAGTCACACCATTCTGGGAATGACCTCTGACATTATGCCTCCAACTGTCAACTACGTACTGCCTTATACAGTACTGTTCCCGAGTAGAGCGAAGTGGATCCTACGGGAGAGAGAAATATAAAGAGCAGCTAGTTGTTGGAAGCTCTTGGCTCCTCTAAATTGGTAGCAAATTGCCAAAAACGACTGTTATTCCGCAGAAAATCACAGAACGTAAGGAAGTTTCACATTTACAAAATTTGAAGCTTCGAATCCACATTGTAGCGTCAGGAAACTTTCTTTTTCACCACCAGAAAATCGAAAAAGGAACTTTTATACACTAATTTACATTCTGTTCTACGAACCTCAATTATCTACTTCCGAATGAATCGTGTTTTGTTTATCCGTAAATCAAATAAAAACTCCATTAATTTGACAGCCGGCAACCCATGAATGGAAACGAAGTTTTCCACTACCCAACCCAAAACTTGTTTTCACTTTAGTATAGTGTAAAACTTTTCCGCTCTTGCCAAATTAATCAAGATTGCACACGCACAAAACGGTTATTTGTCTTCGATAGCTTGTCTACCTTGTGACAGTTTGATATATCGAATGTTCTCAGAGGGATTTTGTTAGGAGAAAAGAGCATTTTTTCAAGGAATATTTATTGATCACATTGGCCGGTAAAGGAAATCACGTTTGTTTCTAAGAACGGGAAGCTATTTGACTCAATTTTATCGTTCATCAGATTTCGAGATCTTCATACTTTCTCCATACTTCCAAATCTGTCTTCTGGAAATCAAGAGTCTTGAATTCATGATTGAACTCATGTCCCTCTGTGAGTAGGTGATCGCCATACGTGGCATTTGTGGAAACTGTTTCAATTCTCTTTCATGCTCGCTCTAAATGTTCTTTCAGTTTGACCTATGTCAAACATTGGACTTGAACCACAAGACAATTCATACCATTATATGCCCGAAACAAAAATACAGTCCAAACAGAGGACTGTGTAAAGAAGGAACGGGCTCCAAAAAAAAAACAAAAACTGTTTTTCCAGCTGGGAAAGTGATGATTTTTGTTTGGAATAGTCGTTGAGTTATTTTAATCATTATAAATGTCCGTTGTATGACCCTTTTTGTCAAGGTGTCCTCTGAATGAACAATATGCAGTGAGTACTCCAATAATTATCCTGCGGCGATACCTAATTTTTCTAACAGTTTTTTCTCAGACGTGTACGCACGTATATTTTCCTCTTTGCGTATTGTGAATACCTCAAGTAGATAACTGTACTCATACTGGTAATTTGTATGGTGGTAACATTTTCAAAAACATATTTGGCCCTTTTTCACGTATTATTAGACCTTGCATATATGAAGTTGATAGTTCTTGTTCTGCACACTCATCATTATTTCCTTTCCCCTGTGATTATTAAGTGTACAACACCCAGTATAAACTCCTGTCTAGATCTGTCAGTTATTCACTGCATTCACAAACCAGTCTCGATGCTATCTTTATTCAAATCCTGCTGATATTTTTATATATTCCTAATCTAGTTTTGATAAGGATGTTCTCCGTGATTTTTGTTACATTCAAAAATCACTTCAATAATCGGCTAATGCTATAGTAATCTACTCTTATCTCTCTTATCGAAAGGTGATTGTCATAGACAAATTCACCTGATTCTGAACGAAATCTTTTGTAAATACCCATCCAAAAAAAAAACATCAGTGTATCGAATAAGTTCGTACTTAGGGGATTCCCCCTAATCACCAGAGTGAAACTCTGGGAATCCCTGGTGGCGAGCCTATAAATAGCTGTTCATTTGTTAATCTTGCCGAGTAGAACTCAGTTTGCTAGAGGCATCGTCCCAGTGTGAATAATGTAGTGCTTCGATATAAAAGAAGCCATATGCCTGCCGGTTTATTTGAACTACTTTGGCCTGAAGCTCGTGAACTTTGGAGACGAATGGAGGAAGTTTGGAATTTAGGTAGATATTTGGGTATTTTTTACAATTGAATAATGTTGTTTCGGCGATAACTGATGGAATAGAAGGGAATAAAGTGTTTATTGAGTCTGTAGAGAAATATTCATCGATAGAAAAGGCTTCACTTAGCAATCACTATTTTAGAGATCTCATGGAGTCTACTATTGTAAAGTTTTCGAAGTTTTTCGACAATTTTATGAACACTTTGATTCCCATTAACTTAGTTAACATCATAAGATGTCTAAAACCATGTACAGGTGATTTTTTCGAGATGTATTGGACGCTCTTGGATCTTATGTAGATTGGTATCGGCCCAAATTCGATAATTTTGCTTGTTCCAGTATCCATTTGTCTACATGAACATTAGGGTCATTCGCCAACTGATCCAGAGCAGTAGTCTCGGTCGTTTACCTTCAGTTCCTGGGTCAGTTGAATTTTTGATGTGTGCAGGCCCATGTTATATTTAATGGCTTCAAGTCCGTAGAATATGCAGCTACCTCGGGTATTCCACAAGGAAGCAACCACTTCTCTTCAACGCCTTCATAAACGACATACTTGAGGTCATTGGCATCAACTGTTTGATATACGCGGATGACCTGAAATTATATTGTGAGATCAATGGTGTCGAGGACTGTCTTTAACTCTTCCTCAATCTGTAACATGTTGAGCAATGGTGTTTTCACAATAATCTTCCATTGAACGCGAGTAAATGTAATGTGATGACTTACACACTAAAAAATCGTCCATTTTCATATCAATGTTTGATAAACGATATTTCACTTCAACGGTCTCTCACATTCACCGATCTACGTGTTAGCTTCGACACAAAACTTTCCTTCGAACCACACATTAAAGCCATTCTATCTGCTGCAAACAGAATGTATGGATTTATTGCACGAATTTCCAGAGATTTCGCGGATCCATCTACATCGAAAACCTTATACTATGCTTTCGTCACATCAAAATTGGAATACGCATCCATAATCTGGAATCCATCTCATCAGTTTTATACAGAGAAAGTTGAATCAGTACAGCGTCGAACTTCTATCCTATAGATCAGACAATATCTATCCACCAATTGGATTTTCCCATTGTTAGCTAGACATGCTATGAATTGCTTGAGTTGCCGTCGTGATTGTCACTCCACAATTTTTCTTTTTTTACTGATTAATAATTTAATTATTGATCCACATATTCTGCCATCTCTGAGATTAGGTCTTTTTACTTCAGCTATTTATTTATGTATTTTTTTTATCTGATAACTTATTGTAATTGTATTGTATTGTGATTTGACTCATATCGATGTTCTGTAGTTGAGTGTAACCTGTAGAGCAGTGTATAAATAAATAAAAGTCACGACGCAAATTCGCCAAGTTGTGGTCTGCGAAAGACCGTGGTCTCGTAAGCGTCGCGAAATTAACTGCCTCGGATTCTCCTGCACACTCTCACAGACCGCGGCGATGTTTTCGGCAGATCTTGCGTTTTGTCGACGTACGGGTGTTGATCGATCGTTTACTGAACCAGTGGATTCAATTTTATCCACCACATTGCGAATATTTCTCTTGGTAGGACGATTATGGCGTCCGTTATCCATTGTCAAAGTTCGGAAGTCCCTTATATATGTTCGTGCTGATATTTTTCCATAACCCCAACATCAAATTTGAATTTCCATAAGAACATTTTTTTCAATTTTTAATTAACTCAGACGACGACATCATCCCTAATAACGTACCTAAAAAGTAACCTGAAAGAAGACTTGGAACAAATCGCTGCACAGCATCCAACAATAAAACAAGGCAGCCTTCTCGGTGATTATTTTCTACGTAAATCCCTCGCAATGATCGCATCCAGTCACTTAATTTGATTTCTCGTCTCACAGAGGATCAAATATTGAAGGTATTCCTTTCCGGTCATGTTCTTATTTCGAATCAAATTAGGACCGTAACAAACTCGGATTTTCCAGATCAATTATCGCATTCGTGCAATTTAATATGCAAATTCAAGACCCAGGTGAGGACGAACAGATGGATTTGATTGAAATTTGAGTTAGATACGAGAAGGGATGCAGTTGGAAGTGCTGAAGTAGGTAAAATGGTGCTTATTCTCTTTTTCTCCAATCACTGACAATCTATACTAATATTGTAAATGTGAGAGTTTGTGAGGATGGATAAATGTTTGTATGTATGTATGTATGTAGCTCTTTCACGCCTAAACGACTGAATACAGCTCATTGTAACGAACTAAAGAATTAACTGTCTTGAACAAATTTATTTACAATATTACTAACGCTTAATTTATTTCGTCTATTTGAATTCCTTGTTTAACCGCTCGATTCACTTTCTGCACTCCCCCTTGGGTTGTGAAGCCGGACTTATATATCGGTAACAATCGTTTCTTGAAATCTGTAGTGGGTTCGTTTCTAGAGTTTTTTACTGATTACTTTCGTGGTGACGTTATGTGTTTGTTCGCTGGCCGGCATATCGGTCAGGGACGGCTTCAAATTCGTTACATTATACATCAGATTAACATATATGCTACAATTTACGAAGGTTTTTTTGTAATTTTGGTCATAATATATCAATGAGTCCGCGATAGCGTATATCTACCTCTCATGTGGTAGCCACTATATGCAGAATACTGAGCCATGAGTACAATTAAATTGGGTATTATTGATTGACTGACACTCTTATATTGACATACGCCGAAGCTACTGAACCTATAATCTTGAAATATGCAGGTAGGTTCTTTGTATAGCGTAAATAAGCATCAAGAAAGGGAATCAGAAATTTCCACCCCCCAAGAGAGAAAAATAGGGATTTTTAAAGATTGTATTGAATTTCAGTAGTTTTTAAGTGGAAAACCTGAAGTTATGTGTTGTTTAAAATAGTTTGTCAAGAAATTGAATGTGACTAGTAAGTAGAGGAGCAAGGTGTTTTCTGGCTCACTTCAAGGTCGTGCGTCGTTGGTGAGTGTTTTAGAGAGATACTTCAGTGAGTGGAAGAGAGGAACGTTTGACGTAATCGATGCAGAGAAGGATGGAATGAGTATCGGAGAGCGTGAGCCCCCTTGGGACTTTGCCTCATCCCTGGGGCCCACTTGGGACTCCTACTGACCTCTCGGGCCCTCTTGTTACGTACGAGTCACGTGGTCCTAATTAAAAAAAGTTTATGGGTATGAGATTTGAACGCAAGTCGTCGGCATAGTAGACGTTGTCCTTAGCCCCGACACTAAACTTGGAATATTGAAAGTAACTGCGAATTGTTGATATTTATAGCGGTTGTTAGGAACATTGATTAACGGAAAAACAGATTTTAAACAGATTTTTTAAACAGATTGTGACTTCAGTGTCATATAGAAGATAGGGAAATATCCTTAGATTTGGGGAAGAATTGATGTTTCATATAAAGGTGTGTGTTTGTGAGAGTGAGAGACACGTGTGACGTAATCAATGCAAAGAGAGATGGAGATGGTACCTAGGTTATACGTTGCTAGCGCAAGCAGGTGTTGTGTTTTCAAATTCAAGATGCGTTTCATTGACATGGTAGTTCCATCATGAACTTATACATCAAACTATTCTACAGTGTATTGTATACGTGAGAATAGCTTATAAGGAACTTTGTTTGTCTGCTACTAAATCGGCTTGTTTCTCACCCATGATTGTCAATTAAGCTATGTGGTTTCTTCCTGAGGACTATCTTGCAAAACTCAATATCAGACTATTTTCATTATTCAGAAAACAGCAATTAGATTCATGTGCAATGCCAAGAGTCGAGAATACCCAAACCCTTGTTTGAGATATACTCAAAATGAATAGATCTCTGAAGAAACTTGCAACTCGCGTCAGCGAAACGTTGGATTTCTCGGTAAAATAACAGCAAAACTAGTTTGGAGGAAGTCAACTATTTTGTTTTTGTGAATGTTTTCGAGAATGGCGATTACTGTGTTCCTCCTGTCTCCATTGTCCATTCAGGTTATGATTGCCACTAAATGCCATGACATTGCCTGCAGATGAAACGGTCTTTGCCTTCTTTGGAGCCGGTTCTCCCTGTTGATTCCACTGTTTTGATTGTTCTTTTGTCTCGTGTGTAAAGTGATGTACCGCACTTTTTGAGAGGCCTCCTAAGTCTGCTAGTTCAGGCACTTTCAGTCGACGATCATTCAGTACCGCGTTGTGGATTTTCTTCACCGTTTTTGGAGTCGTCACCTCATTTGGTCGACCACTGCAATGCTAGTCTTGGTCGTACGGCCTAGTTTTAACTCTGTTACTTGATGATTTACTGTTGTAAATGAAGGAGCAGACTCACACAGAGTAGAATCCAGTTCAGCTCTTGTACTGTTTGGGCTAAGGCCTTTCAAATGAAAGTATTATACCACATAACGATGACCATCGAAAACTTTCGCTATTGATGGCTGCCAAACAAATACTATAAAACGCAGCATTTTCAAACTTGGAACATATGTTTTTGCTTTCTGATACCTTGATATTTTTCAATTATCTACCGCCATCTCTAGGTCAGGCCGGCTAGTTTTGGGTCTACTATCGCTTTGTAATCTTTGGCAAGGACCTGTTTGGCTACTGGCTCATTTCTCTCGCAACACTTTGAACAAAGGTCTGTTGTTGTGTTATTTGATCAGCCTGGCCGACTCGGCGTGTTGAAAGAAGAGGGGCTTCTGTATCATGGACTTTGCTACCTAAACCCATATACTCAGCGATAAGAGTATATCCGTACAGATACGTCTCCCAAATATAACATAAAGTTCACTTAGTTCCAGTCTTGTCCAACATTGCTTTTGTTCATTCTTCAATGCTCGTATGTCAACTCCTCCAAAATTTTCGTATAAAATAGGGGCCAAACGGTGCCAAAATCTGAACCTTACGGAACCCTATCTTAGGGTTGACATGAACGGAAAAATTATCATTTAGTCGAATTGACTGTTCACGATGACTGATGAAGCTTGATAACCATTTCAGAGGTAAATCTGGGATCTATTGGACAAAAATTTCATTTATCCTAAACCCTTTCAGCTCAATAACAATTCTTGAGTTTCTGAATTGAAATGACCAAAAATTATCATTTATTTCCAGATACTTCGGCCGCAAGCGCCTCCAAGAAAGCGATGAGCCATTGGTGGAGGGTTCCAACCTGCTCGTCAGAGCAGGCTACTCATACTGGACGTTGGGCTACGCGTTGAGCCAACAAGGCGCCAGGAAACTCCTGGATGCTGACCCATTATCTCGACTGGTACCCGTGGACGAATATCTACCGATCCTGTTTGATAAACACCCGCAGGAGAGTTGGAAGGGTCACTTTCCTCGTAGAAACCTCGAAGCATTCTCAGCGGCTCCGCTGCTGTTGTACCCCACTCACTACACCGGAGATAAGGGGTACATCAGCGACACTGAGGATTCTGTAATAGTTCCCGGAGCCCAGTTACCAACTAGGGAGGACCTCTAGTGTATGTTTGAGGAAGGGGGTGGACCACCAGGATTTCGATGTTCCTACTAACTGTGTTTTACTGCCATATAGACTAAGATGAAACACTAGAGGTTGTATCTCTATTTTAATATAGTTTAAGGGGTCAAATACTTCAAAAATTTACACTCCTGATGCTGTGATTGACAGGAGTTAATCGCAAAAGTTCTACACGTTATTGCAAATATCCCACTGCTGACATCATTCTCTTTGATCAAAAGACATTGTGTTCTTGCCTTAATTGTAGCTTCTCAGCTGGAGAATAACTCCTCAACAATACCAATCTACCATATCCTGATGTCAATTCTTTGTCGCAGCTTTGAGGACTTGCAGGAGTAATGGTGGAAATTGTCTACCTCAGGTATTCGAAAAAGAAATGCAACATTGATAGGTCAGGTTATCTCACCAAACCATGTGCACCATCCACATGTAGTATCTTTGACTGAATAGGGAATGAGGTTACTCCTGTGAGTATAGTTGTATCTGATTGCTTCAACGTTCAATATGAATGTTTACAAAATAATTTATTGACTAGAATAATCAGAATATGTGGATGTTCTTGTAGAAAAACTGATACAGTTATAAGGATGGGATATGATGACAATTTGCCGGAAAACGAAAATAACGTTTCAGAAGAACCTCCACATATCGATGTTCACCTGAGAGGGTTTTGGAAAGAATTACCCCAAGATCGGCAAAATGGTCAAGTGAGGTGGCCAGAGGCAGATTATGCCACCTGATTTTTCACTGTTGCATTCTTTTCCCGGATGCCGGAGTTCGAAAATGTTCATTGCCACTCCCACAAATCCCTGGGAACTGCGACATATTATTGTTAGAGAAAGTCGATTGCTGACCCCAGACGAGTAGTTTGCATCTTCAGGAGTACAACTAGTCTTTGTTCTTCCGAAGATACTAACCATTCGTGTCGGCGAAACGTTGAGAAAGAGTTTATAGGGAGCTTCTTCTTGATGAGCATTCATAATGACCCGACTGGAAATAAATTGTTTGTCACATTGAACTTGTGGGAATTTATTCATCAATATAAATATGCTACGTACAGGGTGTTCACGGGATCCGCGCGGCTCTTTCTAGTAGAGAAATCAACTATTCCACTTTTTGTAAAAACAGGAATAAAAAAATCGTTGAATACGTAATTGGGGCACCCTGTACGGATCATTTTCCAGAAAACCCGAACTGCTCGCGAACGAAACATCTCGGTCGATTCGTTCCGAAAGTTCGCCTACATTCGGAAGATTTTCGAAGACGAAGGTAATTGAAAATTTCAACTCTTTTCTTCTTCGAAAATCCTCTGTATGTCGGCGAACACTCGAAACGAATCGACCGAGATGTTTCGCTCGCGAACAGTTCCTGTTTACCTTGGATATTCCGTGGCGGGGCTTGAAAGGGCAGTGTGAAGAGAGGAGTGTGGTAAAAGCCAAAGATTGAAAAACATCTTCGGTCTTTTTTGGGTTAGAGAGCTGCGCGGATCCTGTGAGCACATCGACAGGGTGCTGCATAATCAGGATGCACCTAACATCCTTCATTTTTGAAGTGGAAGCCCCATATAGGCAAAGACTTGGCAGTAGACTGCACCGAGGTGTTTCTTTCAGTGGATCAACCAATGGGGATGGAGACTGAAAGAAATAGCTCGGTGAAATCAGCAGACAACTCTCTGCCTATCAAGTCCTCACTCGACGAATGTCGCCTGGAACTTCCAAAGACTCCAAGAAGAAACCGTACGGAACGCGGTGCTGAAGATCCTCCAAACACCATCGGAACCAACGTGTGTTTCTCAAACCTTTTATCGGTTATCTGGAAAGATTGCCCTACTTGCGTAGGGCAATCTTGCTGGTTGACCGAAACTACGTTTGAAGAACACCTTCAGTTCTGATGGTGTTTGGAGGATCTTCGGCACCGCGTTCCGTACGGTTTCTTTTTGGAGTCTTTGGAAGTTCCAGGCGACATTCGTTGAAAATAACTCTAGTGAGGACTCGCAGTGCGTTTCAACCGCAAAATACTCACTCCTCGACTCATATGAACAAGTTTGTCGCTTGAATCTGACAAGAATCAAGGGGTAAACTCTTTGCCCGTTTTTGCATCTGTCAGGGATGGTCATTCCGTAGTTAAGAGGAAACGATTCCAGTACAGCAGACAACCTTGGACACAGGGATATTAGAATTGATATGATAAAATCGATGTTATTAGTTCAGTGATTGATGACTTTAAAATCATAAATCGGTATTACTCTCTGAATGACCAACGTCAGAACTGTTTTTGTTTATTGACTATCATATCCTGACCCACTGATGTCTGCTCAGAAATCACCTCATTTTGAGGGATGATAACACGAAGTGATCATTTGCAGGCGTCTACCGAATTTTTTACACACATTCCCTGCGAAAAACTTCATTAAGGTTCAGATTTGTGTCACGTATTAACTTTCGCTAGGAATGTGATGACAATAGAGTTGATTCTCTTCTAGGTAGACGCCAGCATAGATTCTTTGTCAACACACACGGGTGTTCCTCGTAAAATATTCAGAAGCGGTGTATCCTGATGTGCACCACCCCTTGTGTGCTATAGCATTCTTATATTGATGAAGATTTTTCCTAGTTTGAGTAATTGTTAGTGATTTTGATGTTATTCATTTCGTTGACGTTATTTTTTGGTCGTCGATCACAAGTATGGCAAACAACTATTATTTCGAAGACATAGTATTCAGTGCCACTATTTTTCATTCTGGTTTGAAGGCCGTCACTTTTGTGATTTTTTCCTAACGTTTCGCCGGCGCGGGTGGTTGACTTCTTCAGAGGTTCATACAGTTTGAGTTTATCCGATGACATTGGAGATGAACTCAAGATGTATGAACCTCTAAAGAAGCTAGCCACCCGCGCCAGATAAACGTCAGGAAGAAATTACAAAAATCGACGGCCTGAAAACTTGAAAACCTCGGTCGCGAAGGCCTTGAATATTTTGAGATAGTGTTCAGGTCGTTGAAAGAGAAATAATGTAGACAAATATTGACTCTGTTCCATGAAACAACGAAATACTACTTTGAGGAAGTCCTTCGACTTTCAACTTGTCCGCGTCAACATAAAGAAATGAAACTTTCGAAAAAAAAAGAAATTTAATCAACATCGTTTGAAATTAATTAGAAAAATGTATCCACAGACGCTTGTATCAATTACACGAATCGTTTTTTAAAGACAGTGAGTAAAACAACCTCTTTACTCCCGAAGATTTCAAAAATTCGTATCGGCGAAACGCTGAGAAACACCCAAAGCGAACGACCGTCAACAATTCCGAAAAATGGCAAATGCAACTAAACAGATACAGAAGCAGATACAGTTCATTAGAAAATATTTATTTTTATTCAGGGTGAGATTTCTGTATTTGATATTTTGTATGAGATTTTTTGATGAATTGTATCTTAAGAAACTAATCGTGGGATTCAGATGTTTTCGAATACTCATCGGTATGCAAGTTTTTGGGGTTGACATTTTCAAAAATATCAAAATAAAAGGGTTTCTGAAAATAAAATCTTTTTGAAAAATTGTTACAAATCATCGAAAGCAATAGACTTATCGATCAGACTTCTCATTTTATCGACATTCAGCCTGGTTACTGGCGTAGGGGGCCATCAGTCCTCTCTTATTTTTTTCAATGTTTATTCAAACATAAATTCATTTCAGAATGCACTTTATTTTAAGCTTGCACCTTTTGGACTCCATTCCGACCATGACATTCTCACGTGCCATCTTTGAGGGTGGCGTTATCCCTTTTCATTTGTGAGATTGGTCATTTCCATCATCACCGACCCGATCTGCTTTCCCCCAATTTCAAACTATTCCCTCAGATAGAAAATACCGTCACATGGTTGCGTATACACTCCCACCGAAAAATCCTCTCCGACACCCACTCTGCATTCTCGTCGTGCTCGCCCCTCTCCATAAACAAAATGCTCATTTTCCCAAGCCTCGCGAGAGCTTCTAGACATCTGCAAAGATGCATCGTCCAATAGAATCAAATTAGCGGCATACTGGCAAGCACTTCTGGAATAATGAAAAGCGAAACTACGTGGAAGTAGTCGTGCGAGAGTAAGATCAAAAGGAGTTTTATGTCGCCCTCGGCATCAATAAAGTCATGAACTTTATTCACGTAGACATTTATCAGACATCACGTTCCTTTCGAATTAGGTATGATGAAGATTTAATGGAACGAAACGTTTCGACACAGTCCCGGCGCGGCCGTGGTCTATTTTTGACGTTCAATGAATTCGTTAACGCCTGAGAAGGGTCAAAGTAGAAAAAACCAGTGGACTGGGGTACTCACCTGTTTGAAAATTTCTCGCCGCTCACAAGTACCAACAGGACAATTGGTGGTTTCGTGGAATCATATCGAAGGGATCTGTGAAAGAAAAATACCTTTCATACATCTTTCAAGAATGTTGCACAAAAAAATAATGGTATGATAAGGGTTCCATCGTAGCATTGTTACCTGAAACAAACGCGACTCAAATTGGAAAGGTGATGCTGTTTGTCTGAAGGTAACAGCTCATAAGGTAATCCATCTTCTGTCAGTTGTCCCCTCTCATCTGTCGTTTGTCAACCGCCATATGTCGTTTGTCAACCGCCATTTGTCATTTTTCAATTGTCACCTGTCATTTGTCATTTGTTTACAATTTTCTATGGCTCCACAAAACCGACTCATTTTTGTGAAAAGTTTAGTTTCTGACAGTTCCAGTTTATCATATATACATTTTGTACTTCATTTACTACAAATTTATAATTACCACCCAAACTTCTCACCGCAACTTTTTTCTCGCTCTAACCACAAAATTACAGCCGGCCCGTTAACCAATTTTCGTGAATTAATCACAAAGCCGTCACGCTTCGTGGACAATTATTTGGGATTCTGGTTTCGATTTTGGCTGAATTATGTTCAAACATGTGTGTAGTAAATTATATTAACAACAAATCTCGATGTTGTCATAACAACAGGGGATTTACACTTAATTGAATTTCACTCAGTAATACCTATCACGATGATATGAGAACGCTTTGAATTTAGTTGAATTTTGGAATACTAGTTTCCGAAATGAGATTCCGGGAGTCAAAAGAGATACTTATCTGTGCATATAAATTGTAATTAGAGTAAAATGATATCAAAAAGTGAAAATGTACAACACTATGAAGCTAATTCATAGAAAAGTGACTCTTTCTCTCTTTTAACGGCCCTGGCTTCTCATTCGGGCGCATTTAGCCAGCCCCCTCCTACCAGCAGTTGACAGCAGCTTCGTTGGAGGGCGCAGCGGTCTTGCTTGAAGCAAAACTGCCTTCCCGAGTTTTATATCATATTCTTTTTTATAAAAAAACACTTTACTTTTTTGCAATCGTCTCCCCCTGGAAATACCTTCGGGTTTTAAAAATTCATATACACTATACGTCTGTTCACCACCACAGCCACCATGAACCTCAGAAAAATGCATCATAGATTATTGAAATATAGAAATCATAGACTCATAAACTCACAGAACCCATGAAATGCCTTAATGAAATGATGTCAAATCCATACTGAAAGAACAAGCCACTCACTGAAAAGTTATAAGACTTCACTAGGCAGACAAATGCATTTGAATCAAAACTAACTCATCCTAACCTTACTTTTCCCGACTTTACTTTTGAGCAAAATGTACGCATGTCTGTAGCTGATGAAGAAGAACCAAGCCTAACCTGTGCTTGACACGTTTGAACGAATGTGTAAATCTAAATTGTACGCGTTCTGTGGAAGAGTTCTTCTACTTGAAGTGAATGATGTTGAAAGAATGATATTTTTTATTTGTAGGACTATATTTGAAGTATTTGGTCCCCACAACTTTTGGATTTTGTGAAATATTCTGCTTGAACATACTATTTCTCCAACTTATGATCTGAAGCAAATCTATTTTTATATACTTTCAGACAGATTTTTGTCAGTTATCTGAAAATTGATGGAAGTATCTTGTCATTCATGTTCAAATAGGCGAAAGCTTGAAGGTTATCTCTTGAAACTCAAGGTTTTATTCAGTTATTGAATAGAACAGAGCTTGAATAGCTTCAAGCTTTCTATATCGTGTATAAACATTAGATTTTTTTATGTGCCATATTTTTTTAAATGTTTATTTTTCTAAAGTGCCTTGTATTTTATAAAATATGTTACTTGTACCTAACAATCTAATATTTATGCGATAAATAAAGAGATTTTATTATTAATCATTGTTTATATTTCTGAAGTCGTATATGGTTTTGAAAGTGAGATAAAACATCATTTGTTGAATTATTTTTTTTGTTGAAAACAATAATAATAAGTGTAATGCCAGCTCACAACTACAAAACAAGTGCTTAGTGATGTTACCCCCCTCAGAAGAGAAATTTTTTAAAAAGATGGTGAATGTAAAAATGATGGGGAGAAAATTTATCTGCTCGCCATACAATTTGAGAATTTTCCCATTGAGTTTGTAGTTTGGAAACAGCAAGAAGTTGTAACAAAGTAGGCGAAATTTCCATAAGCTTTATGTCGACTATCGAAAACGTAACTGAGGGCGTTGAAGTCAAGGTATTTGAAAAAAGCTGTATTGTCAATTCATTTATTTGGTTTTGATGACTGGACAGGATATAAATTATGAATTCCTGCACTGACAGGCGTCAGTGCAGACCGGTTTCGGGCTCCTTAGCCACTCGTCAGTGCAAGATAGTGGCCATCATCGACCTAAAGTCAATGATATTCCATAATTGAAAATCGAAATTCATTCAGAGTATTTCATTCCTCGTTCTGAGTTGGAGCGAACAACAAAAATGACACTCCACCTAGTGGACGAGGTGCCAACCAACGGCATATCCGAAATTTGCCTTGTTCCTCTTAAGTTTCTTCATTAATGGATTTAGAAGTTTTAAGGTTTGGAGCCTGCTTAGAAAGGAGGGTCTGCGAATTGGGAAGATATTTCTCACTGCAACTAAAGTCTCCCTATTCGTGCAGGAGGCTGAATTCAAGCCTTTCTCGAAGTTGCCTTGATATTAAAAGAATTGATGTGGAGAAACCCGCATCTGGTGACAGCAGCTACCAAATTAATTTAAATGAAACGAACACGTCAATAGCGAATTTGACTCTGGGCTCTGGTGAGCCAGAGTCAAAGCTACGTTATTACATGTCAGTGCAGCATTCTCTACAGAAGGAACTGGCAGAGTATCATACCTCGAACAAAGCTGAAACGAACGATAAGCAATATATTTGTCATCGCACCCTCTGCCCGTAGACGAGTACTACTGTATAGGTAAGTGAAGACTGGGCTGTACAAATCGTTATTTTGGATGATTTGATCTTTCTTTTGGAAATAACATCTGTGGAATCGACAAAAGACTGAATCCAGCAATATCAAAGGTAAAAGAGACTCCCAGAGGCAATCCGTTGCAATATGTGTGGAGACATGGAGGTGATCGTCTGATAAAAGGACTACATACTGTGAAATATTGGTTCAGAATACTTGAGGACGCATGAATAATGAAAACCTCAGCTGCAGGCAATGTAACACTGGGCCACTGGATAAATGGAAGCAATCAGTTCATGGACAATCCAAGTGTTCGGAGTACAGTGACAGTACAAACAAACAGTCAGTTTTCCAGTATTAACACGACTTCTAACTCAAAATTTTCTACTCCAATTATTAGCATATTACTCTTTCATAATTGCGCACATTCAAACAATTTCAGTCCCACACAATTATGAAGCGTATAAATTCAATTAAATATCTTTTCGGGATGATTCAATTTCATCAACTCGCTGATGACAATTGCGACTGACAACGTGATTAAATTTACGTGTTCGTAAATTGCTTGATGAAAACTTTAATTACGAAATAATGGCATTGTTAACAAGCTTCAAAACGACGTCGATCGTATCGCGGTATTATTTAATTGGAAACAGTCACGTTGACATGTCATTATGAAGACAAACACACATACAAGAGAGTTTTAATTAGGCATGCTTCATTAAACGCAGAAGAAAAACGGAAAAGGGGTATGTTTCGGTTGTCAAATTGGATTATTTCCCTCTATTTTCGTCTCCACCATAGCATAACATTGGTATTACTTGACATTTTTTCCCAAGGGTGGTATTGCTCCATCCAACAATATTTTCAATGTATAGCTTTGCTGAATACAGCACACTTGTGTCGTCATTTCATTTGGATTCCAGGACATTGACTGCGGATGCACATCTTTACCGGCAGCAGGAGGTTGCATATCTTAGTGAGGATCTAGAAGTGATTTCGAATCGGGGTAAAAATAACCAGGTTCAATTCAATACTACAAAAACCCAGGCATTGGTTTTGTCCAAAAAGATATGTCCAAAGAGGATATAATAATGACACGACAGATAATTCCGTTTTCTGCTTCGATAGGTTTGTTGGGGGTTACAATGGACACCAATATGTCTTGGCACAATCATGTCGCTGACATTGTAAAGGCTGCTTCTCAAAAGCTTGAAACACTGTTCCGAACCAGAAAACTGTATACACCTCAGCAACTTTTGATGCTTTGTAAAGCTCAGAACAGACCTTTTTTGGAGTATTGGTCTCATGTATGGAGCTCCGCCCCTAAACATAACCTGAAGCTGCTAGATACATCCAGAAGAGAGCCATCCGCCTGACTAGAGACGCAAACATCACTTGCAACCTTGATAGTTTGTAACATTGAAGAATGGTTGGAGGCTTGTCTCTCTCTCTCTCTTATAAATACTTTCATGGAAAGTGTTCAAGTGACTTGGCACATTTGATTTCACCAAGAGCGGTACATATCAACTGTGGCTGCCCATAATTTTGAAGTTTAACTGAGTACACCTCAAATTTCACGTTTCTCCAAATGGATTTGTTCTCTAGCGATTCAAATTCAATGTGAATCGCTACTTCCACCCAGGCACCGGTCTTAGAGCGCCTTAAAGATTTTTATGTAGTGCTTGTGTTTTGCCAGCTCGAATTAGGGTTCACCATTCCCTATGAAAACATTTTTCAGATGATTGAGCTTCTCTGAATATTCCTGGGTTTATATATGCGCTAGGCCTCGAAAAGGAGAGATAATCAGCACCAATAAAGTTTAGCTACCTACACTACACTGTATGGATATTCCTGGGTTTATATATGCGTTAGGCCCCGAAAAGGAGAGATAATCAACACGAATAAAGTTTAGCTACCTGCACTACACTGTATGAGTATCGGCCATTCAATGCAACGAATAGAAATGATGGAGTGAAAGCCGATACCCAAATCTCGAACGATGTAGAATGTGCCGACATCTTGAGCACTTCCTCCCTTGCCTTTTATAATGTTTACTACAGTTGTAGACGAAACGTCAGACAGAACACAGCTAACAAATCTGCAAAATCGCTATGATGAATTTTCCAGTTAACTTGCTTTTCAACTGTCTTATTATTTTATGAGTTGAAGTTGCTAGAAGTTTGGATAAATGATTTGTAATCAAAAACTTCTAGATGAACTCCTAATAATCTGACATCATTATTATCAACGGAAACAACAAAAACCAATCCCCAAGCTGGACAGAATTGCTCACCTCAATCTAAGGCGGTGGCTGGGGATAAACAGAAATGTTCATCCCAATCTACCGATTGGAATGAGGCTGGACATAGCAGATCACCTTCAACAGCAAGCGCACTTCTTTCGGCGGGCGCCAAGAGCTCTGCCTTGAATAAAAGCAAGGAACCGGCTGCACCTTCACGGAGGGAACCCCAAGAAAGTTGAAGAAGCCGCGCAAAGACAGTAATATCGCTGCACCTTCCAAAACCTTCGCGAAGGCTACCGTGAGACACCTCAAGGTTGCCAAAGAGAGTGTGTGTTCGGCGAGTCTTGGCCTACATCTGCCAATATAAAAGAGATGTCTCCTAGTGACCTGTCGACTTTCCTGGAAAGGACAGGATGGACTATGACCTAGGAGGACAACTCCTCGGGAGGATGTACAATGGGTCACATGTGGCCTAAGTGCTGTGAATCTACACTCACCCTACCTACTCTACAGATACCAGAGATATCAACGAAATTATTCAGTTGAAGTCGATGTTTTATGTTTTGATCCAATTCAAAATCAGACAAGATTTTTCCAAAAATTTTGGAGTCAGTTTTGAACTGTAACATATTAGAGAATATTTATTTGATTAAATCGAAATGAGGGCCAGAACTTTAATGATCAATTCATTCAATTTATAAATGGTGGTTTGTCGTGGAGCAGGATCGGACCTCTTCTGATGACCAGTGCCGTGTTTTCGCCTTTGGAAGGTGTCTGGGTGGCTCATCGGTCTCCAGCCATTGTCCTGAACGTCTCTTGTCGTCATAGAGGATCCACTTCTCATCGAACGTGACGACCCGATCCAAAAAAGGACCCCGTTTTGATAGCGCAAAAGCAAAGAAGAACAAACCAAGAAAGATGACAATTTCTGTAGACCGTTTGAATCGTAGGGCACCCACTTTTCTAGCTCTTTGGCCTTTCCAATACGTCAACGGGTCAGCCTCCACCAGGCTCCTCAAATCCTCGTCATGGTCGGCCACTTCGAAGCTCATCTTCGGGGCTGAAATCTCCGGAACGAATTTCGAAAACCAGTGTCAAGCACTGCGTTCATGAACACTATCATTACCAAATGCCTGATCATTTTTTTGGACTGTCTCGGCCGCGCTTCGGTTCAATTCTTGGTGAAATTAGTTTTTCCGACCTCCACCCCAACACGAGTAACAAGATTCCTGAGTTGGTTGAAGTTGAATGAAGTCGTCAGCTTTGTGTGAGTGAGAATTCCTAACTGAGGTATTTCTTCTGCCATAAACAGTCTTAATAGTCACTTTGTAAACGCCAGACCCGATGCCTTTTGGGGATATTAGCCAACTTCCACCTCTGAAATCCCCGTAAACATTGCAATATCGCGAAGAGGCTGGAGAGAAGAGGGTTTCAGAGAACACTTCATTCGATTTCTGACATTCCAGAAAACTTTCCGGACGGAAAGTTTCAAGACGAATACAGTGTGCTGGATCTTGTCTACAGTTGTTGGAAATTTCACTGATATTATTTTTCTGTAACTGGTTCGCTAGTTTCGTTTGTGAATATCCAACTTTCTCCAACTTGCTTCAAGATGTTGGACCAAAGTTGAGAAAAAAATAAATTCTGCTACAAGGAAAGTTACGATGTCTGTTATTGCTGGACTGGAGAATATTGAAGGCAAC